AGAAGAAGAGACGAAGGGGTTTCCCTTCGGGGGAAGAAGGGGAGCACTTCTTCATCCCCTAAAGGGGAACCGAAGGGGGAAGTCATCTTCTTCTTCATCCCCTAAAGGGGAATACCTATTTTTGGCTATTTAAAGATGTGACTGTGACATTTACAACAAAGCATGCTGTTAGGGGGGGGGGCTACGTTACATGAGCTTTATAAAATATTTTCTAGATGCTGTAGCCGCGCTTTGCCGGCATGCCACCCCTGGACCCATAGGTTGAAAAGCTGCAGTTCCAATTGTTCGTAAAGGGGCGCATGGTCTTTTAGTTCGGCCTAAACTGCAACTGAACTCTGCCGTTGCCACACCGACCCATTGGACTCTGAGCTGCAATCCCTGTTGAACGAGTTTTCCGACGTTTGTCAGGAGATTCCAGACATCCCTCCTGTTCGGCCTGTCGATCACACGATTCCTTTGACTCCTGGCGTGACTCCTGTGACTCGTCCGATGTACCGCCTGAGCCCTCTGGAACTCGACGAAGTCAAGCGCCAGGTTACCGACTTGCTGGTATGATTCGTCCTAGCACGTCCCCGTATTCTGCACCCATCCTGTTCGTGGGTAAGAAAGATGGTAGCCACCGCATGTGCATTGACTACCGGAGATTGAATGGGGCGACGGTTAAGAATCGTTATCCCCGGCGTGTTGATGACTTGCTCGATAAGCTGCGCGGTTCCGCTTACTTTAGCTCAGTTGACCTTCAACAGGGGTATAATCAGATCCGCATTGCTGAGTCGGACATCCTGAAAACTGCCTTTCGCACCCCCTTTGGTCACTACGAGTATACGGCTTGACTAATGCTCCTGCGACTTTTCAAGCCGTTATGGATCGTCTTTTCCACCCGTTTATTTGATAAGTTTCTGATTGTTTACCTAGACGATCTCCTGGTCTTTTCTAAAACGCGCGAAGAGCATCTGCAGCACTTGCGTTCTGTCCTCCAGGTGCTGCGGCGTGAAAAGCTACACGCAAAGCTCTCTAAGTGCCATTGGGCGCAACCCCAGGTGGAGTACCTCGGCCACATCGTCTCTGCCGACGGTGTTCGGATGGATCCCCGTAAAACTGCTGCTGTACGGGATTGGCCAGCGCCCACCTCTCTGCAGGAACTTCGTAGTTCCTGGGGTTGACGAACTATTTTCGTAAGTTTATTGCGCGCTATTCTGTAATAGCTGCGCCCCTGACCAACCTGACTCGTAAGGGTGCGTTTTCGTCGCCTGCCGCGTGGACCACCAATCACCATTGCCAACGTTTGTTAGCAGTATCCCAAATTTCCCACCTTAAAGTTTACATCTTATTACCCACAGGGCTCCGGTGGAAGTTGTAATCATCCCCACCAACATTGTGTCGCCACGCGCCGCAGGCCCTTTTAAACAATTTACCGAACCACATCCTAAGCAGCAGAACCGACATGCTGGCTGCCTATCATGCGGGAGCCTTCAATAATGACATCGCCCTTCGCGGCGGTTCTGGTGCTTAGGATGTGGTTCGGTAAATTGTTTGTTTAAAAGGGCCTGCGGCGCGTGGCGTCCCACATTTTTGGTGGGGATGATTACAACTTCCACCGGAGCCCTGTGGGTAATAAGAAGATGTAAACTTTAAGGTGGGAAATTTGGGATACTGCTAACAAACGTTGGCAATGGTGATCCACTTCTTAGGTGAAGGAAATGAGGATGAGGCACCTGTCAGTAGCGTTTTCGAGGTAAGGAGAGCCAGGTCCTTCTTGGGAATTCCCTGGAAATGAAAGCATCGATAAAAAGACAATGTTGTGCTTTCTTAACTGAATGATGTAGTGAGTGAATTTACCCGATGTGGAGCGACTTGAATAAAAATCCATTTTTGTTCACCATGTTACGAAATATGCGTATGGGCGAATGCAAAATTAATGCGTGCGGTATATGTACCGTGTTTTTTTGATTGTCGTACATCTTTTGCAAGCTAACGACATGGTGCGAGATTTAGGCAACTGCGCTGAGCTTTCGTATTCCACTTCCTAATTTCGTGGAACGTATTCATGTATAACTGGTGAATTTCTAGTCGTCAACAATTTGCTGTGTGCAAGTGTGATGGTGAAAGTTATAACTGTAACAACGTGGGGAATAGCGTTGAGATTTGCTGCATGACTGCTGGACCTTTAAAAAAGGATCAATTCAATTATGTCGAAATATGTATGAGGTTTAGGTTTAGATGGTGCGAAATGTATTAGGACTGTGCAAGGTTGGTGGATTGACTTGTGGCAACGTGTGAAGTATTGCATAGATTTGCTGCATGACGACTAAGACTGGTTAAAGGTAAAGTGCAGGTATATAGACGATGCAGTGGCTTATGTTTTCATGGAACAGCATGGAGTATGTTAGAGTTGAGAGGCGCGGCATGACAACTAGGTACATTGCGCAACAGTTGATTTCGTTGGATGACGGTGCCCAGGTTTACGGACCATCAACCAAAAATCCTAGTAAAACCCTTTACCTTATGTTCATCAAAACAACCCAGGCGCTCACATCCATAATTACGTGTCAAATACGACTGCATGTTGCCTAACCTGGCTCTTCACCCTAGAATTTATAATACAGCAAAGAAGTCACCATGTACATAATCAGACATAGACAGGATGTTAAAATGTGCTTCCTTTCAAATGGTGAAATAGGGATCATAATAATGGCCTGGTCTAGAGACACTACTCTAAGATGCGGTGTAAGGTACTGGGTTCAATTTCTGGATACAGGATGGCTAGCTAGCCCAAGAGATATGGAGTAAAGATAACGGTTCATATGGGCTGGATGAGGTGACTGGATTAGATGAGGAGGGGTCAGCGGGATCAAACTGACCTGGACTTGCAGTTCGTATGATGTTGTACATTGTGGTAACGGTGGACGTTGCTGTTGCTCTGTCACGCACCTTTTGCTTCTCATTAGCAAATCTGGCCCAGGCAGCTTGTGGCCAATGGAAGAAAGGCCGGGGGGGGCCGGGGGGGCTTACGCACGCCATACTGCAGGCCTTGAACTTTCCCAATGAGGTTGATGCCATTGGATAGAGCAGCTGCATCTGCACGCTTCCAGGCCTCAATCACAGCTTCCTGTGAGGAAAAATTTAACCCGCGGATCTCGTCGAGGACGTACAATCTGCCGCCTTCATGGAGAAGACTGTTAAATTTTTCTCGGTCCGTTTTCTTCATGAGCCCCAACAGGTGCCCCAGTACAGCGGCCTGCAGGCAACATTTCAAAGGGAGTAGGCGCCTCCCGCCATGGGCTTCACTGAAGCCTAACACAAAATAAAGGTGTCCCAAAGCCCAACCCACAAAGATAGTATTTTTGTGGGTTGGGCTTTGGGACACCTTTATTTTGTGTTCTGGTGCTAGGAGTTATGCTGAGTGCTCATCTAGCGTTTTGGGCCTGGATTTGGCTCCACACAGGGTAGGGCCGGCATCCCGCAGGACTTGAGAGGTTGATAACTGTCTTTTGGCGATTGAACGTGTGACTGTAGGTCGGCACCGTCTCTTCATTAGTTCATAATTTGCCGAAAATGTTCATGTTTCAACATCAAAATAGAGTAGTGGTGTGCGTAATTATTGGTGGATCCTATATTTCTCATCCTGGATCCGGGTTCCACTGCAGAAGATCCCCCTATGCTTACATATCTTTTAGTGCGAATAGGTGCGAATGTCTGGTCTGAAGAGCGTGGCAGTTACATAACAGCCAGGAGAAGCAAGATGGCGAGGTGTGCCGAAGATCCATAGGCGTGATGGGAAATAAAAAAGATGGAAAGAGATGGTAAGCAATAAAAGTCAGGAGCTGCACAAATGGTTTCAATTTTTTTTGAATCTTTTCAATCCTCGCGGTTCAGATTTTCGCGGATGTGACCCCCCCGGAGCCCTCAAACCCCGTCATCACAACACATTACACCAGGAAGGAGTGACGCCTGACAGTTGACGCTGGGCCAGCGCCTCCTTACCACCACCAAGCAGTGAAGACACATACATGATCAAAACACAAATATACACACAAGTGCACAAACAAGCTCTATTCAATGATGAGCGAACGCATGCTGGCAAGACCGTCTGTAACACATGTACACCCCACATCCCAAGCATAACCCCTGCCGTACTCCTGCCGCCATTAGCATAACCCCTGCCGTACTCCTTCCCAGCAGGAGACCCTTCTCGTCTGCCTTAAAATACTCATGCTTCTTCCTACCAAGTCTGAGTGGAGCAGGATGGCTCTTTGTAAAGCTAAGCTTAACCCTAAAACCCTAAGTTTTGTAAAACAACAATATCTTTCTAGCATTCAGATCCTTTTTTATGACCCCTGTTGCCTTCAAGAGCCACCGATTAAACCTTTTTTTTATGCATTTTCAAGTTCCCCTTCTTTTCCTTTTTCTTCTCTGCACAAAGGTGGACCTGGTGGCTGTCACTGCTCGACCTCCTTAGCAGCCGAGGGCTTCCGCAGCAGGTACATAGGCCGGTCAAAGCCTACACCCTCTCCCTCATTAAGCAGGGTCTCCAGTTCGAACCCGACCTGGAACAAAAGGCGGAAAAAAACGACCCGTCCAAACGGGGGACGCTGTCAGTAACCAAGCTCAGACGGCCCCTGGAGCGGCGGCGGTGCACGCGGAGTACACCAGAGGAGGAGGACATGCTTGGGGGGGAGGAAAGCAAAACAGCTTTACCGTACCTGAGTCGTCAGGTAGCTCACAAAGTGCTGGGGCCGCAGCTGCAGCTGCTCGATGCGCTTGAAGGGAACCGCGTTGGTCGTCGTCTTGTGTACGGCACGCTTGTACGACCTGTACGGTGCACCGAGAAATGCAAAGGGGCTTACCACAACACGGTAGCCGTGATACCGTTAAAAGAAGGTATTTACACGTACAAACCAAAAATCTTAACCCTTTGCGCATCTCTCGTGTTTACCCCGTACCCCTGTCGTACAAATGCTCACTTCCAGGGCTGCGGCTCCAGAACCAGCAATCCGCCCGGAGTCAGTGTATCGAAGAACTTCCTGAGCGCGCGCAGGGAGGAATGAAAATGACACAAATAATAAAAACAGAGGTCCAGGAACATATGAACCAAGAATCAATGGATCAATTTCAATGATAAATTTTGGCCTCTAGATTGCAGGTGATTGTTGGCATGTAAGGAAGGAAACACAAATGGTTCTCTCGAGCAGCAAGCGACATGACATCGGAGGAAACGCGTCGCAGCAACCCAAGGGATAAAGAGCACACGCGCGCGTGTAATGGTGACGATTCACGCTTCCGTACAACGTCGTACACTCACTTGAACAGCCGTTTCAGTCCCGCATCTCCGTTGTTTAGGTGCACCCACTTGGTGACGCTGAGGCACAGAATGGTATCCGCACTCTCAGTTCTATTCGGGTGCGGACATACAGACGTACACGAACATGTTGGGGGGCCGGGGAAGAGGTAGGGGAGGTAAGGGGGTTTCCGGACGACGGGACGGGTGGGATGGGAAAGCGACATGGCGGGACAAAGACCGCGGTTTAGGGAAAAAAAAGGAGGCGCCCCCAATCGTCTGGAGAACGCATCGTGTATGTGTGTTTATGAAATTTCCGGTTCCCCCGCCCTTATTTTGACTTGGCGCACTCACTCACTCACCCACTCTCTCGCTCACTCACTCACCTACTCGCTCACTCACTCACCTGGCGCGCACATTGGCCCAATCTTGCTGCACGAAACGAGTCCCCGATAGAGCTTTGATGTACGAACGCAGCTGACCCGCTCTCAAGGGCGCTGGACCCGCTGCTGCCGAGTGGAACCCCCGGCGTGCCGGCTGCGGTGGTACGGCAGTGACCTCCTGCTGCTGCTGCTGCGATTGTTGTTGGTGATGGTGCTGCTGCTGCTCTTGTTGTGTTTGCTGCTGTTGCTGCTGTTGCTTCGGCTTACGGTGGTAGGGCGGCTGGTTGCTAGAGGTGCAATTGTTGCCTAAGAGATCTTGTGGACCTGCTGCCATAGAAGCAACTGCATCTGTTTCTCTGCCGCCGCCGCCGCCGCCACCACCGTCGCCGCCACTGCCGCCGCCGCCGCGCCCTTCCTTGTCGTCGGCGCCGTCGTCATCATCGGAAGCGCCGGCGCCGGCGTCAGCATCGGCATCTGGCATGTCTTCGTCAGCCCCGCCTCCGCCGTCGGCTTCGAAGCCATCCGGATTCGCTTCCAATTCACCATCGTAGGACGGCTGACCGTACAACTCCTCGGTTTTTCCGTACTCCGTGGTGCTGTCGCCCCAGCCAAGTGCGTCACGAGTGCCCCCGCCGCCGTACTGGCCCAGCGTCATGGCTTGCAGACGGTTGGTATATTCGGTCCGCATGATGCGCAGATTCCTGTGTACAACCAACCAACCAACCAACCAGCCAACCAATCCACGAGAGGTCAATAACTGTGGATGATGACTTTCATAAATGCGCGAGGGCAACGACTACAGGGTCGACGTGGCGGATTTGAAAAAGGCGCAAATGAAATTGGGAACTCTCAAGGCAGCGGCCATTGGGCATTCCTTGGTTGTGTCTTTAACTGTGTCCAAATTAGGCTACAGGATCTCCATTCCTACCTGCAGGCCTTCTTAATGAGAGTGCCGTCAATGTCGTACCCCGTCATGCGCTTGGCTCCGAAACGCGTTGCTACAGCCAATGTGACCAAGCCCTGAATCAGCAGTAGCAGCAACAATAACAGCCGTAATAGTAGTATTAATATAACAGTAATAACAAGAATAACAACAACAATAGTGATAACAAAAACAACAATAATAATATAATATAATAATAATAATAACAATAACAACAACAATAATAATAATAATAATAATAATAATAATAATAATAATAATAATAATAACAACAACAACGACGGCGGTAACTGCAGCCCGGTCATCGACAGGCATCGGGCAGTAGCAGAAACAATAGCAGTAGCAGAAACGAATGGCGCGCAGTGGCGCACGGCACCGGCAGACACCACCCAAAATACATACATAAAAAAAGCAATAATTTTGTTGACCAACATACCGGAGGCCAAGGGCAGGCAGGTAAGCGCCACCGGTGAGGATCGCCACAAGCAGCCGCAGAGGCACGCAGCACGCAGTACGGACCATTAACTAAGCCTAACCAACCCAGTACTAACTGCCAACGACGCCAACTCCGCCTCGGCTATTCTTTTTCCACCGACTCCTCCTTTTCCTCCCCCTTCTGCCCCCCTCAAACTCCCCCCCGATCACCTCGTTGCAGCCCACATCGAACACCACACGCCGCTGGAACCATTCCCGCCGCATAAGCTGCACATGCGGGGTGGGGGGCGGTGGGTTGGGTTGCAGCCGTGGGAGCGAAACTGAATGGGTACGGCATTTGAGGGTTCTTGTAAAGGAATAAAAATCGCATGGTCTGAAGAGAAACAAGGGAAGAGGACAGAAACGGGTTTGTGCCTCGTAGCCTTTCATCTTTCACCACCCACCCCCAGGATGCTTAATAATGTCTTAATCTGGCCACATGGCCTAATCAGGCGATAATGGGGACATAAGGGATATAGGCAGTAAGAGGACATCTCCGAAACCAGGGCAGGCGCTTAAAGAGGACACCAGAAATGAGGGCATTCAGGAGATGCTGAGACAGATGCGGTACGGATAAACACATGATGTACGGCACAAAAAGTGAATGAAGTCGCGGTGGCAGTAGTGTTGTTGCTGCTGCTGCTGCTGCTGCCTCCTTGCAAATTACCCATAGGACACCTTAGTCATGAACGTCAAGGAAATGAATTTATTTATATACACAACGTGCAAAAAGCGAGGGTCCGCTGTCGGGAGAGAACGGAGAGATAAAAGACGGAAGGCGTTAGAGTGTTGTCACAATCCCCCATGGCGGTTGAGTTAGTTTACCAACTAACCGCCAACTAACCGCCATCCTACCTTGACCCTGGGGTCTTCGTCAAGGTCTGCACCCAACCGGTAACCGTAATACCGGTGGTAGTTACCGTACCGGTACAGCGCCGCGGAAGCAGCAGCCTGCCGCTCCGTCCGCTGCTGCTTCTGCTTACGTACTTGCTCCACGGCACGAACGCCACCCCTGCCGCCACCTGCCGCCGCAACGGCGGCGGCAGCGACAACTTCCGCTCCTCCTGAGCCCGCCGCCGTCGCAACAGCGGTCACGAGCTGTCCGCCAGTACCTCCCCCCTCACCGCAGATTTGCCCGCTGCCGTAACCCGACACACTTGTACTGCAAGTGGTCGTGCTGCCGACGGCAGTTGCCGTCGCCGTCAGCCCCGCGGTACAGCCAGCGTCTTCCGTGACGCCGTCAGGGCGACCAGCCGCGGCCGACGCCACCACGGCCGCCGCCGCCGCCGCTGCCGTACCCTCCACATCCCCCGCCGTCCGCAAATGTACTCGCATGAGGAGAAGCGCCGCGGAGAGGTCGACAGGTCCCCTTGCTGCTGCTGCGGTGGCGGCACTAACCCTCACCGCCAACCCGGCAGCACGAGCGGCCAGCGGTGGTGACGTGGCGACCGTACGGACGTCAGCAGCAGCAGCGGTAGCCGCCGTCGTCACCGCCACCGGTCCCGCAAATGCACCGGCGCCGCCGTACAAGCCGAAGCCTCGATGCATGGCAGCCACCGCAGCGGCGGCCGCTGCCGCTGCAGCGGAAGCTGCCGTGCCCCCTTGCGGCGGGACCTGGATCACCTCCTCGCTCGCAGCAGTCGTGGCGGCGGCGCCAGAGTGCCGTACACGTCGTTCTCTGCTCCAGCCCCGCTGCTTCCGGTCCCGTCGCTTGCGAGTCGCCCCTCCGTCGCCCTTTCTGACTGCTTCTCCACCCTGACCGCACGCCGCCGCTGCCGCCGCCGCCGCCGTCGCTGCATTATTATTACCGTGGCGGCCGCTAGCCGCATCTCCAAGACCAGCGGTGGCCGCGGCGGCAGTAGCGTCCCCGTCGTCATCCACCGTCAACAGATCTTCCGGGTGCGCCTGACGGCGGCTGAGTCGCTTACGAGCACCGTGGCTCAAGTGGCTACTGCCGCCTGACGGCGCCGCGGCGGCGGACGACCCGCCATAGCTGCGACTGCCGCCGCCTCCGCCGCCGCCGGTGAGCATGGCTGACCCCGCTGTCGTTCCGGCGTCCGCTCGCCCCCGGGACCCCGCTTGGGAAGCCTTGTTGGCGCCGCCGGGGGCCGCCGTTAGGTCAGACCTCCCGGGGCATCGACGGCGAGTATAAGCAGCCTGCCTGGCCTGTTGCTGCGATGCAGCCGCGGGAGCCGCCTGCGGCGCGTTGCCGCCAACTGGACCTGCGGCCGCGCCGCCGATGCTGGCGCAGTTCACTGATTGGACATCAGGGTCAAGACGCCGCTTTTTCGACGGTGGGGTCATGACTGTTGCTACGGTCGCCACGGCAGCGGCGGCGGCGGCGGCGGCTTCCGCTGGTTCGCTAGAAGTGGGAAAGGGAGGCGCAAGCCCGGGAGGTTGGGCCCGGACTGGCTTGGCAAACCTTGGTGTACTGGTGCAGGTGGGATCAGATTGACCGATCCCGCCGGCGGCGCGCCGGTTGCTGCAGCATCCGGTATCTTTGCTGGAAGGCGGCTGCTCGCCATCGCTGTCATCATTGTCATCCGCACAAGCTCCGGTTTGGGGAGAAATTCCCAGTGCCTTCAAGGACCCATAATTATGACTAGAGGTTCATGTGACTCGAACAGTGGAGCCATCGGGGGAGGGATGTTCCAAGAAAGATTGCGGAACAGTCGGAGATTCCTCACCTTTTGCAATATCTTGGTCACCTTCTTGCGTGCCTTTTTCCGCTGGTTTTTATTTAGGGACTTATCGCTGGGGAGGAGCTGCGATTTAATATGCTGGACCAGCTCGCCCGGGTCCGTTGGCGGCATTTCGAGCCGCCCAGCCCCTGCTGCCTCGCCCCCCGGACCGCTCATCTAAATTTCACGAAGTGCACGGTGCTGTGCTACATTACGGGATCATCTAAACTGACTTTGTAATGGACTCCATTAGCCGGCAGCACGCTGCAGCCTAGGTGAGAGTTCGTACGACCATACGGTCTCAGATGAAAGTGAATCAGCTAGATTGATTCATGTACTAAAGCAAGCTGCTTGCGGCAAATAGCAAGTTTTTGCCGTACAAAAGCGGGTTTTCCAGCATCTGGTGGGCTCTAGTACTCACCCGTGTAGTCAACCGCTTATAAGCTAAACCGTTTCACCGGTTGCGTAATTGTGAACTTCGGTGCTGCCAGCAACATTCGTTGGTTGATAGGTCTATAAGGTCTCGTCTGCCCACGCATTAAATTCTAAGAGCTTGTCAATCTTTTTGGTAAATATCGATAGGAGTTTGCGGAGTGGGCGAACGATGGTACGTGAACTTACTGGAATCGACACAATATCTTTTCGTTATTTAGCTATCTAACATACATGGTTGAATTCTGCAGGCGATAGAGGAGTGGTACAAGTCCGTAAGTGGACACGTCACGCTGCGTTTGCCCGTGGCGATCGAAATGATGGATAGCACACGGTCTTTCGTGCTGAACGCAGTTACCCATCGTAACGAGAACATATGTCACGATGGCCTTCTTAACCACGGCGGGTTGCGCTCTGGAGGTGCGGGTGCTTTGGGGCGTCCTGCCGTGGTTCCACACCACCATCGCCAACTTCAAAAGACTCTGACGTCAAAAGCTGCCCCGCAGATCATTACACCCTTCAATATATATTTCAATTCCAAGCTCGTTTTCAAAAAACTACAACTATGGCGGCTGGTTACAAATTTCCTCTTCTTCGGCAACCTAGGTGGGCCCGACAAAGTGCAGGGCGACAAAACGCGTGTACCTGACAACGCCGCCGATGCATCTCCCGGCCTCCGTACGACCTCCGTACCCTGGCTGATGCTCCCGCATTCTGTGATGCACCTGTTCGTCACGCACACGTCGGCCCCACTGCGCGAGCTTACTCATGCACCCAGCTTGACCCACACATGCCGTTTTGAACCGCCAGCTAGGACTGAGCCTTCTCATGCGTTTGGGAAGAACACAACCAGATAGGCCCCCCAGATAATGATTTCCCCTTTTGCGTGCGGCCTGTCCGGCATAATCTCTATCCTTCACCACACGCTTTGCAATGGCTCGTATGGGCTCCTCTCTATCTGGGTAACGCAACCGAGGGTCATACATACATACATACATACATACATACATACATACATACATACATACATACACACGCAATGATGATGATGACGCCATCGTCCTTTTATGTACTACCATGTACAGGACTGGACTTCGTGTTCCACATGTTCTTTCTGATCAAGTACTGCAAATCATTGGAGGAGGGTGAGTGCCGTACGACGCCCGTACGGCGCCCGTGCAGAAGTGCTGGCAAAGATCCGGTTCTTGCGGATCACCCCGTCGCCGTCCCCCCCTCCCCAGACCCCGACCCCCCACTCAAACTCCCTCTCCCGCACTCGCAGCCGTACCATGTCCTATCTAGGCCTACGTGGCCCTCAGACGCTCCTCATAGAGCACATTTACCTCCCGCCACCAGCCGCCACACACACACACACACACACACATAGGCCGCCGCATACACGGATGAGATGAGGAGCATCTTATCCAAAAGACCCTCTCCCAAGGTCCCTTCCCAGGGATGTCTCTCTCCCTCCCTCTGTCTCTCTGTTCCCTGTCTGTCTCTTCTAGGATTGCCATTATGCTAAGCCTAAGTCTGAGATCTCATTCCCAAGGTCGACCCCTGACCCCACTTTCCCAGCCATGTTGTTGGGGGGGGGGGGCGCATATCCGCACAGCTCTCCCCGCGACCGCTGTGCTACTAAACCCCCAGTACGAACACACACACATAACACGTACACTCACACTCTCTCTCCCCGGGTGCCCCCAGGTTCCTTCCGCGGGCGCTCCGCGGATTTCCTGTGGATGCTCATCTTTGGCGGCACCTTGCTGACGTGCATTGCCCCCTTCGTCAACATCCAGTTCCTAGGCTCTAGCCTGACGTTCATGATGGTGTACGTGTGGGGCCGCCGTCACCAGTATGTCAATCTGTCGTTCCTCGGCATTTTCAACTTCACGGCGCCGTACCTTCCCTGGGTGCTACTGGCCTTCTCCTTGATGTTGGGGAGCAGCCCTGTGGTGGATCTGATGGGCATGGCGGCAGGTGGGTGGTGGGTGGGAGGAGGCAGGCTAGTGGGAGGGAGGGGGGAAAGACGAACCACACACGATTGAGGGAGGGGGGAGAACCGGGGAGTGGGGTGAGAAGGAGGGACACCTGCACACGCACATGCGCACGCACACGCGCACATGGGGTGATGGGCCGGGTTAGGGGGTTATTGTGGGCACTTGCACCGTCCTCCCTTAAGCCCGCCCAAAAGCACTCCAAAACAACAACAACAACAACACCACCCCACAAACAACACCCCACGCAGGTCATGTGTACTACTTTTTAGAGGACGTCTATCCACGTATCAGCGGGCGGCGGCCCCTGAAGACCCCCGCGCTTGTTCGGATGATGTTCCCGACGGAAGACATGATCGTGGCGCCGGCGGTGGTGCCGCCGCCGGAGCCCCAGGACGTGCCGGAGCCGCAGCCGGCGGCGGCTGCTGCGGCGGCGGCTGGTGGGGAGGGGGATGTAGCTGACGGTAGGTGGGAGTGCGGGAATAAGGGGTTCGGAGTATGTGTGGCTCCTGTGTTTGTCCGTTTACTACTTTCCCTTCCTCCCCCCCTTCCGCGCCCTTCGCTTCCCTCCTCTTACTCCATTTTTCGCTGGGTGGGCTGAGCTGCGGTTCCAGACTTTTGTAATCTGAACGTAGTAGCTCTCATAGCCTTCTTGCTTTACTCTCCTGATTTGTTTGTTACACCCTTCCTTACTTATTTATTATCTCATGCTGCCGCAGGTCGACCCCGACATGAGCATGCAGACTGATGAGGCATTGGGAGGCCTTCTGGGAGTTAAGTTAAGAGGGAGGTAGCAGACAACAACAACAGCGGTTTGCTGCCAAGGCAGGAGCGGGAGCCTGTGGGGCCACAGCGGCAGCGGCAGCGGTCAGGAACTGGCACGCACTCGCGCACACAGTTACAGACGCACAAACATACATGCACATGCATACCATTCAGGCAGGCACGCAGGCAGGCAGGCAGGCAGGCCTCGATCAAGCGATATCCTGTCCTGAAAGGCTTTGGAGAAGACTCTGGAACATTTTAAGGAAAGGGAGTTGGTGCTGTTGAGGGCTGCTGTTCTGTTTCCCCGTTCCTTACACATCCCTCCCCCTTGAGGTTGTGAGGATGTGAGGGATATGTGGGATATGAGAGAAGGCGGATGGACCCAGTAAGGGAGGGGGTCGGAAGCTCCGAACCCCCTCTGGGAATGGTGGTGGACGTCCGGCCCTGTCCTTGCCACGGACTCCCTCGCCTTCCCACCGGATTTTATGGGGCTTTTGAAGTATGCTGGCATGTCTTGAGTCCAATGCTGGCCCCTGCCGTACCCAACCCGATTTAGAATTTTACGGACGGGCAGGGGGATGTACGGATGTACGGTCATACGGGTTGTTGGAGGGCGAAGCAGCAAAGCTGGCGTTGAGAGGGAGGGGAGCCGGTGGAGGTCGGGCTTGCGGCGCAGCTCAACGCGGTGATCACCGCTGCGGATTGCGATGCAGCGCAGCATTAAGGTGGCGGATGAACGGATGAATGGAGGGAGAAGGGACGGGAGGGAGGGGCCGCACCGTAGGAGAGCACCGTAGGAGGTTTGACGGGTAGGTCGACTGGGACCTGGGTCGGGTCACTGAAAGTGGTGTAGCAGCCATAGAACCTGACTGCGCGAACTGACCACGGAATGTGTTGCTTTTGTTGCTGGTGCTGACTGTCAGTGTTGGTGATGCAATGCGTTGTAAGGTGTGCGGCCCTTCCCTGTTGGGGCCCGGGCCGCTTTCACTGGCCTGCGGTTGGGCCCCTGTGTCAGGTCCCGCCGTTCAGATGAAATGTGATGCGATATATCTATATAATAAATCAATCAGTTCAATACATTTTGTCTGCGTATTGGGGGTCGTGGTGCGTTTAGGCAAGGTGCACATACGTACATACATACACGTACACACGCACACATCTTGGCTTTCAGGGTATTACTTTCTTGTTTCCTGCTAAGCCCCCCACCACCACCACCACCATCCGAGCATGGGAGGCCGGGAGGGGAGAGGCTATATAAATGCCAAAGAAGACGTCCACTTACGCGCCTGGGATGTGGTTGGGGGAGAAGTACCTGGAGAAGTACCTGGAGAAGTACCTGGGGCCGTACCTGGGCGATATTCGGCAGGTTAGTTCAGACAGCAGACATCGGAGGGGAGTTTCGTTCCAAGCATTGGGCAGTGCGGAGTCGGGACCCATCTTTCTCCGGCTGCGGCGGAAGATATGGATTGGGAGTGGATTGGGGATAATCATATAGATTTTAAGTATCAAATCGGGCCGCAATTGGAATTGATCTAGGGATCTGATGGATCACAGCTCGTGGTAGTCTGGCTGGCTGGGAATGTGTGGTGGTGCTGTGTGTTTGGTGTTGCTGCGGTACAACAGGTACGGATATAGGCCGCCGTGTGGATGTGTATGGATGTGCATGGCAGTGTTGGTGCTTGGATAGGGGATGGATGCAGAGCTGTGTGTATTTCGTTGGGGGGTGTTGGTGTGTACTGTTGCCGGGTACTGTGTGTACACTGTGTTCTCCCTACCGAGGCGATCATAAGGTGGGATCTGGATTTCTGGATGTAACTTAAAGCTCCGTTGTTTCAAAGCGGCAGCATTGCCAGGTATACCGTATGCAGGTGTGTAGATGCCGGTTGAAAGGCAGGCGCATGGTTACATGTCGCTTTGCCAGGAGGCGAACGTTTTGCCGGTGGCGGCCCGATCACCGGCCGACCTGGCTGACTGGTTAGGGAGGGACAAATAGAAGAGGGAGGGACAAATAGAAGATCTCTAGAGGGAGCGAAGTGGGTTACGGGGGAAATAGCACCCTACAGGCCTCTTTGCCGCTGGCCAGGGGAGGACGGCAGCCGAGGAAGGGGGCATCCCCTCCGATGGCGCAGCCTGGCGATGCAGCAATGTGCAGCAATGACTTCTGGCCCACCAGTTTCCCAACAGATCTCCCCCACTTAGCGCGTGTGTACTTACGAGGGTAAGAGCACCGCTGCATGGTGACATCGACTATCAAACTTTCAGTGCCTCCGGATACACACTCACACTATATGGCTGTCTCTGGTGCGGTCTCGCCCCCAATACCGAGCAGATTACATTTGGGGAATGGGTATGCGTGTGTGTGTGTCTTGTGTAAAGTTGGGGGCCGGAGAGATAAAAGTCGTGTTTCCATAGTTAGCGAGGTTGAGCACATCACCTAGGTGTAACGCCATGTCGTACATCGTCACCGCCATGGCATCTTGGGGACGACAACATTCTCCAACAAGGAGAGATCCCTCGTCCGCTGCCCTTGCAGCAATTGCGTGTGTCCAGCAAACCGCCAGAGTCGACACCTACACACACTGCCTTCAACAGCACCGAAATTCTCCTGAAATCCTCATATATATACACATATATGTGTGTGTGTGTGTTAAGAATCAGCTCTGTCACAAGTCGGGCCACCCAATCGCTCCCAGCCTCAAACGTCAGTGGGCTGGAGATCGGGTGTTGGCAGCGATGGTAGATGGGCCAGGCCCCGGGAGTGGGGCCACGCACGGCCGCTGGTAAGGGGCGCGGATGTGCGTGTGGTGTCCGCATACCTCCTCCTTGCCATCACCCAGGTCACCCAGGTGGACACTCAATGTTGAAGATCGCTAATGGCTCCGTTGACTAAACGGGGCAACAGCAGATGTGCAATATCTGGGAGTGGGTCTTGAACCAGTGACCTCTCAGCGTTGCGTCAGCGCTTTTTTTATTTTCGCCCTTGTAAATAAACAAAAGTTATCCAAAATCGAAAATACGAAACCCACGAGCCCCACCACGTCTGTACCTACTGCACTATGGCAAAGGACCCCCCGACCCACCTTGAGTTGGTCGTCGTAGAACAGGCGGCTAGGCAGGTCCAGGAGGGGGGCGGCACTGCGGTAATTCCGAACCAACACGACCCCGCGGAGCCGCGAAAAAGCATGGTGGTGCTTGCAGTGGTGCTGGCAGAGGTTTTGTTTGTGGTAGTTGTGGTAGTTGTGCTGATGTTGGTGGTTTGCTAGAAGTGGCTGTGGCTGCGCCACCTGCTGCTGCTGCTGTTGCCGCT